AAGGAAGGAAGGAAGGAAGGAAGGAAGGAAGGAAGGAAGGAAGGAAGGAAGGAAGGAAGGAAGGGGGCCAGAGAGAGAAAGAAACATGGATGTGCGAGAAACACATAGATTGGTTACCTCCCGCACATGCCCCGACTGGGGTAGGGGAACAAACCTGCAACCCAGGCATGTGCCCTTGACCAGGAATCGAACCCGAGACCCTTTGGTGCATGTGCAGATGCTCTACCACTGAGCCACACTGACCAGGGCGAGAACCTAGGGTATTAATCAGAGCTTCATTGAGTGACTGACCCCGGAGTCTGACCTGAACAGAAAGTGGAACTCAGCCAGACAAGGGTAATGATTTCATTGTCCTGAATCCCAGAAACCAAGGAGGTCTGAGGTGTGGCCGTGACCGCATATATAAAATGGTGCATCACAGAGCTAGGGCCCCAGAGAGCTTAATACTCTTTGAGTAACTCTCTAGAATTTTGCTTGCTGAAAAGGAGAAAGCCAGAGGATTTAAGACTTAAGTCGTGTTCTTTGTGTCCTCTTTTGCATTTATAAACTCGTAGGTAAGCACAGTCAGACCCTGCCCTGGGCGCTCTCCCTACAATTACTCAACTTAAAAGGCAGCCCCCTATTAAGACGTCAATGGGGATTAAAATAGCTGGATGTAAAACTTGGGCTGGATTAGACGACTTTATGATCTGTAGACCTGGAATAAAATTACAGGGCAGGAATGCCTTAGAACTCAATATAGAATACCGTGGGAGCTTGAAGCACGGTTTCTTTAAGTACAAACTGCACCCAGTTGTTCCACTAACATTATATTTTTATGTGAAGCTTTAGCTCTGTCATTAAGGAAATGTACCCATATAATTTCTGAGGTGCCTTGCAGGTGAAGGGTGATGGCTGCCCATGGAAAGCTGACTGCATATAAAACAGGTTTTAATGACTGGCTTACGACAGAGCTCCCACCCAGTGTCTAAGCTCTGTCCCTGGGGAAGACCCACAGCGACTCTCACCGTGAGAACAGGAACTCGGACCTCACATTTCATAGAGAGGAGTCTCTGAAAACCCAGTGAAGTTGTGCCATTCATAGGTATTCTCTTGGAAGTTACTACAAAAGTTCCCCCAAATGTGTACCCATTATTTGAATGAAACGGAAAGCATTATTTACAATGCTGTTAACAAAAATGTGGATTTAGTGAAACTACTTTAAGCTTTAGTGGTATAATGTTCAGCATCACATACCCTATGTAATAGCTATACTAAAACACAGATAAAAAAAAAGCATGTGTGTAGCCCTGCCAGGCGTGGCTCAGCGGTTGAGCGTCGACCTAGGATCCAGGCGATCAGGGTTCGATTCCCGGTCAGGGCACATGCCCGGGTTGCGGGCTGCAGCCGATCAGTGACTCTCTCATCATTGATGTTTCTATCTCTCTGTCTCCCTCCCCCTTCCTCTCTCTGAAATCAATAAATATATATTTAAAAAAAAAAAAAAAAAAAAGCGTGTGTGAACCCTAGCCAGTGTGGTTCAGTGGTTAGAACATCAACCCACACAGGTTCGATTCCCAGTCAAGGGCATGTACCTGGGTTGCAGGGTCCATCCCCAGCCCCAGTTAGGGCTCGTGTGGGAGGCAACCAATTGATGTGTCTCATGTCAATGTCCATCCCTCCCTCTCTCCCTCCCTAAAAATCAATGGAAAAAATATCCTTGCGTGAGAGTTAACCAAAAAAAAAAAAAAAA